GCCACGCTCGCGGAATTGCGGCCACCAATGAGCCGAGGATGCACACATCACGCGTGCAGAGGGCCACGCACGGGCAGAACGTGCCACACAGGGCCAGACACACGCCTCACACGGGCGGAGTTGCGGACACCAATGAGCCGAGATACACGCCTCGTGCAAGATGCCACACACGGGCGGAACGTGCCACAAAGGGCCGGACACACGCCACACACGGGCAGATTTGCTGCCACCAATTAGCCAATGACACACGCCTCACACGTGCTCAGAGCCACACACGGGCAGAACGTGCCACGAAGGGCCAGACCCACGCCTCACACGAGCGGAGTCGCGGCCAACATGAGCCGAGAAAACACGCCTCACACGTTGAAATGCCACACACGGGCGTGCCACACGCGGGCAGAACGTGCCACGAAGGGCCAAACCAACGCAACACACGGTCGGATTTGCGGCCATCAGTGAGCCGAGGATACGCCTCACACATGCAAGGTGCCACACACGGGCGCGCCACACACGGGCAGACGTGCCACAGAGGGCCAGACACACGCTTTACAGGTGCGAAATTGCGGCCACTGACGAGCCGAGGAAACACGCCTCGCATGTGCGAAGTGCCACACACGGGCGTGCCACACACGGGCAGAAGTGCTACCAAAGGCCAGACACACACCTCACACGTGCGGAACTGCGGCCGCGGATGAGCCGAGGATACACCCCTCACACGTGCGTAGTGCCACACCCGGGCAGAACATGCCCCCAAGGGCCTGACACATGCCTCACACGTGCGGAGCAGCGGCCACCAATGAGCCTTGGACACACGCCTGGCACGTGCAGGTGCCACAAAAGGGCAGAACGTGCCACTCAGAGTCAGAACGCGCAACACACGCGCGGAGCAGCGGCCACCAGTGAGCCGAGGATACGCGCCTCACACGTGCGGAGTGCCGCACCCGGGCATTGCACGTCACATGGACAAGCGCGCGACGGCGCCCGCACGCACGGCCACGGTGGGCGGGCAAAAGCCGCACCGCAGATGCCCCTCGCCGAGCGTGGCGGGACACCCCCACCAACCGTGCGTGCGTGACGCTCCTTCCAACCGTGGGCGGCGCACACGCCCCCTCGCGCGCTCGCCCATGCAAGCAAAGCGGACTGCACGACGCCTCGCACCCAACGCTTGGGCACGCGTCGCCCCGCGTCGCTGCGCGTCGCGCGGCGCCCCCTCCCGTTCGCCCAATCATGGGGGCTGGGGTGGGGGCGCCCGCCCCGCGGTTTCGTGACCGCAATTCAACGTGGCACGATGATCGCCCACAACAACAACAACAACAACAACAACAACAACAACAACAACAACAACAACAACAACAACAACAACAACAACAACAACAACAACAACAATTACTAGAACGTGGGGACACACCGTTCTCACCAGTGCCAGGGTTTTCATAGGAGGCGGGCAATACCCCCACTTTGTGGGGGGGCCGGTTCAAGCTCTACCAAATTTCCAAACGACTCTTCGCCACCACCCACACCCAGCTTCCCGCCCTATGACGTTCGGACACTTCACTTCGTGGCATGCGGACGACCGTGGCTACTATTCAGGGCCCCGCGGCCGACGACGACGGCGTGCGCGCGCGAAGAAAAAACGAATGTGTCCCGCATGGTATTATTTGACAGGGATGATGGCCCTGGCAGGTGCGCAACCGTTGTTGCAGAAGTTCGAAAAAGTTGCTCGCAAAAGCCCGTTTGACAGAAATGTTTAAAAAGTGTTGGGTTTCCTACGAATCCGCAAGAGCGCGCGGGATGAAATTTTGACATTTTTTTTGAAAACCATTGGTTTTTTGATGTTGTTATGTTAAAATCGCTACGAAAACTAAGGTTTTGGAAGGATTTCGTCTTGCGCGCGCGAATGTCCACTTTACCTTATTTTTGCAAGGGATTCTTGAAGTTTGGTTATGTTAGAACAAGAAATGTCCACTTTAGCTTATTTTTTGCAAGGGAAAACCGATCGTAACAACACAACCGGATCCGGACCAACCCGTTTTGCCTGAGACTTCCTCACGAAAATGATGAAAATGAGGCTGCGGCCTAGGCGCGGCGGGGGGGTCGTGCACCAGGGGTCCCAACAATAATTATTCTTAAGAAGTAATAATGTTCAACAACAACAACAACAACAACAACAATCACTTTACCCGAACGCTCAGTGTTCTCACCAGTGCCAGGGTTTTCATGCGACGCCAGCCAATACCCCCACTTTGTGGGGGGGCAGTGCAAGCTCTACCAAATATCCACACGACTCTTCGCCACCACCCACACCCAGCTTCCCGCCCTATGACGTTCGGACACTTCACTTCGTGGCCTGCGGACGACCGTGGCTACTACACTGGCGTGGAGTACACACCCACAGAAGTTGTTAAGCCTACGTTCGTACACCCACAGAAGTTCTTAAGCCTTGTTAACCCACAGAAGTTGTTAACCCACAGAAGTTGTTAAGCGAAACTAGCTCGCGCGAGCTCATGTAACATAAATGCTGGAAAACCATTGGTTTTTTTAGGATTCGGACAGCGCGCGCGGGTAGAAATTTTGAAAAGTCGTGCAGGTGTTTTTCGAGGACCTACGGTGCGATTCGTGTGATTTTATGATGCGCGGTGCTAAAATCCTTAAGAAGCCCAATGGTTTTTGGAGATTTCGGCGTGCGCGCGCGAAGAAAAAACTAATGTGTCCCGCATGGTATTATTTGACAGGGATGATGGCCCTGGCAGGTGCGCAACCGTTGTCGCAGAAGTTCGAAAAAGTTGCTCGCAAAAGCCCGTTTGACAGAAATGTTTAAAAAGTGTTGGGTTTCCTACGAATCCGCAAGAGCGCGCGGGATGAGATTTTGACATTTTTTGTTGAAAAACCATTGGTTTTTTGATGTTTTTATGTTAAAATCGCTCCGAACACTAAGCTTTTGGAAGGATTTCGTCTTGCGCGCGCGAATGTCCACTTTACCTTATTTTTTGCAAGGGATTCTTGAAATTTGATTATATTAGAACAAGAAATGTCATTTTATAGTGTTTTTTGCAAGGGAAAACGGATTACAACAAAACAACCGGATCTGGACCCCATCCACTTTTCTGAAGCTTTCGCGAAAAAATGATGAAAATGTAGCTGCGGCCTAGGCGCGGCGGGGGGGCCGTGCACCAGGGGTCCCAACAATAATTATTCTTTAGAATTAATAATGTTCAACAACATCATCATCATCATCATCATCAACAACAACAACAACAGCAACAACCACCACAATCACAACCACAACAACAATAGCCATAACAACAACCGCCATAACAACAACAATGACAACAATGACAGCAACCACAGCAACAGCAACAGCAACAACACCATAACAATCACATCAACAACGAAGACACAAACAAGCGAGACAAAACAAAACAAAGCAACAATAACAACCACAACAACAACGACAACAACCACAACAACATCATCAGCAGCAGCATCATCACCACCATC